AAGGTCACTTGTTCTGTCCAAGAAAATCAAAATAAGCATCAAAGGAAGGTTTTCCTTTGACCTGCCGGTGAGAATCAATTCAAACCTGGAGCTGTTCATGCAAATTGATTATTTTGATCATTTGTAGATAACTAATTAACGGGAAGAAAATAAATAGTAATAGCATTTTGCTTTTCATTAAATATCTTATTCCTGAAAAAATAGTCTAAATAAATGACTTGTACCTGATAAGTATTCAACTGTCAAATATATTTATATTTAAATATACATAAAATATGAAAATAATTATGATGTTACCAAAGCTTAAATTTATATTTTTTATTAGATAGTTTATAAACTTTTTCACGAGTTTTTGATGCAAATGTATAATTTGGATTAATTTCTAATGATTTATTTAAATCTTTTAGTGATTCTTCGTATTTTTTCATCATGAAATAAGTTATTCCACGGCTTGCTAATACAACTTCATCATTTGGATTAATTTCTAATGATTTATTTAAATCTGCTAATGATGCTTCGTACTTATTCATCATACGATAAGTCGATCCACGGCTTACTAATGCAAATTCGTCATTCGGATAAATTTCTAATGATTTATTTAAATCTGCTAGTGATTCTTCAAATTTATTCATCATGCGATAAGTTTCTCCACGGCTTGCTAATGCTTCTGCATAATTTGGATTAGTTTCTAATGATTTATTTAAATCTGCTGGTGATTCTTTGTATCTTTTCATCTTGCGATAAGTTATTCCACGGTTTGCTAATACTTCTGCATTATTTGGATCAATTTCTAATGATTTATTTAAATCTGCTAGTGATTCTTCGTATCTTTTCATCTTGCGATAAGTTTTTCCACGTGATGCTAATGCAAATGAATAATTTGGATCAACTTCTAAGGATTTATTTAAATTTGCTAGCGATTCTTTGTATCTGTTCATCTTGCGATAAGTTTCTCCACGATTTGCTAATGCAAATGCAAAATTTGGATCAACTTCTAATGATTTATTTAAATCTGTTAGTGATTCTTTGTATCTGCTCATACGGCGGTAAATATCTCCACGGTATGCTAATGCTTCTGCATTATTTGAATTAATTTTTAATGATTTGTTTAAATATGTTAGTGACTCATCATATTTTTCTAAATTATAGTATTCTATTCCACAACTTTTTAATGCTTCTGCATTATTTTGATTAACTTCCAATAATTTATTTAATCTTACAAATGGATTCTCCTTGTGCTTGCTTATAGTAATTTGATTATCAAAATTTAAATTTGAATTATCCTGGTTAACGACCTGCAGTTGATTAAATCGTTGTTCTGTTAAAAGTAAATAAGTTATTATTAATAAAAAATAAAGTTATAATTTTTGATTCTAATAAGTAATTAAACATAATAAACCTATTGAATTCACGTCTTGAGTATAATTATTAGAATTATTTAGTTTATATTGGTTAAAATCTGCTTGATCATTACTTGAAATTCCTATATTAATATCTTTTTCATCGTGATAATCCGGAATCATTCGAATATTATCTAATTTATTGCGAATTTCAACTATACTAGGACGTAAATTTGGATCATCGTTCCAAGCATCACAATAAATATTCATAAAGTCAACCGGCGTCCCATTAATAGAAGTTTCTCTTTTGCCATTAATTACATGTAAAGTTATTCCTGTTGGGTCAGATATATTTTTAAAAGGAGGTACACCACTTGATAACTCCCAGAAAAGTATACCAAGACTATATATATCTGAAGCTTTATCTCGTTTATATAAATATGGGCTTTGGAGGTATTGTGGATCGGAAAACGCATATGCACCTCCAGCAATAGATTTTGTGCTACTATCTAACGATTTAGATAATCCAAAATCCGTAATCATTAATCTACAATCATGCACCAAAATATTCCTATCATGCTATAATAATTTTAATATGTATATCAGATTTAATAAAAAGAAAAAGCGAAAAATAAATTAGAAAAGATATCTTACAAGATCTCGATGAACAATATTTGCATTATGTAAGCAATTAATACCACTAGAAATATCTTTTGCCATTCTGATTTTAGTTGTCCAATCTAACTCTGAGAAATGCTTACGCAAATAGGAACGAAGGTCACCATTATTAGCGAATTGAAGAACCATATAGTGGCATCCTTCGTTTGTCGGATCTAATTTACCCGAAATTATTAGTTATCTGACAGAATTAATTTAATATTATACAAAATAATATACCTTGCGTGATTCCAAAAAATCGTATAATATTATCATGATGTGCAACTCTATTAATGTTTTTAACCTTATAGTATATTATAAGATGTAATACAATAAAACGTGAATAAAGACGTAAATAAAAAGGCAAATAAAAAATATAGAAATAATATGTATTACTTCTTTAATAAAGTCATTCAGTGAAATGTCATTATCATCGTAATATAAACTCTTCAGAGCTACAATTTTTTCAATATCTCTTGAATAAGCACTATGTATAGCGCCAAACCCTCCTCTACCGATTACTTTCCAATTCTGAAAAGAATCATATTCAAATAATGTAATATATTTTTGTTCAATAGCAACTTCCAACCAATTTGACATGTTTTAGTACTCAAAGGGAACTAAAATTAAGTTGTATGCATTAGCGTTATACGTACCGATACGTATTAACTTAAGTTGGAACCAAATCAATCCAAATATTTACACAAAATCCAAATAAGTCCAAATTTTTAAACAAATAAAAACTCGGATAATTAATAGTCATATGACATAGCCTAAATTATATGTTAATTTCATAATGCTGGCCCAAATTTTCCAAATTTTTACGTTGTCCAAATAAATTTTTGCTCGCAAAATATTAATGCTAAGATCAATTTTACCTTATATATTATCAGTCAGCAGTTACCCCAGTAGTCTCTTTTAATAAACGATCGCCGGATCAGGTGTAACGTGAAAATCACACGATTATTCAAAATTTTATGAAATTACTTTCTGCATTAACAAAAAGTTCCTTGCTAAATATTGGTATAGAATAAGCCATTCTTCATTCCTTAACCTAACCCTAACAGAAAGTTTATGACTTTAAAAAATATTACGCATATTCGTTTGTTTTGATCGGCCCTACTGGGATAATTGGTATATGTCACAATTATTTATATATAAGTGTTATTTTATACTGTATAATAAAAACATAAATTTACTATAAACTTCTTACATTATTTTCAACTTATATATTAACTTATTTTCAATTTTTTTAGGGATAAGTATACCAAAAATAGTAGATTAAGGTTATTTAAATTGCTTTTAAATTCCATAAAAGTTGTACATTTTTGCTAACCGAAATTTATGAAAAGAACGAGTTTTCAAATATTAAACTGCAATTATATTCATGAATGCGGAAATGGGTTGTCTTAGCAACAAAAGAAGTTATACATAGATCAAATGAAAAATTACCGTTTGTTTATAGTAAATTCGTGTTTTTTGCTAAAATAACCTAATTTGGCATCTTAAGTAAACTTGTTCGCATAGAATTTTATACGCACTTAGTTTGCCGAAAATTGTTATTTTAGACCCTTTATTAATTGAATATTTAGTTAAATTTTATATAAAAATTTAATTAAAAATTTCATTTACAGCTGTTTTCATAATTTCTGAAACACCTAATAAAAATTAGCCGAATGATTTTTCGCTGATTCAGTGATTTCAGCATAATACTGTGAATAAGTTGATATCGACAAACGTACAAGATCAAGTGACTCATAAATATAAGACTACGTGCCGATACGAATCACCCTGGTTAAATATTTTCTCTCTAGCAAATAATTAAAAAAATAATTTAGAAGGCTTATCATTTCGAAAAATAGCAAAAACGCTTAAATGTCAGTATATCTTCAATAAGTCGGGTTTTTGAATACTTTCGAAGATATGGGTGAATTGAAAAATTTTGTAACACATATTCGACAAAGTCAATAAAATTACTATTTTTTGGAATTATGAGTCACATTTTTAAACAAATTGATAAGTTCTTGCCCTTTTTTAATATCAGCGCCCATCATTTTATTTTATTTTATTTTTCTTGTAAATATTTAGCCTTTTCCACAAGTTTTCGCTCAAACTAAACACACCAAACATTTAAATGAAAATTTAATAACGTTAAACGTGTCGATCTTTATAGTGATAAAATTATCTGTAGAACAAGTATTATATGTAATTTTATAGTGATAAAATTATCTGTAGACCAAGTATTATATGTAATATTGTCGTGCGTGAGGTTAGCATCTGCACGAAGTTGTGGTTTCAAGCGCTTGAAGTTAAACCTGCCTAAACTTGCTAACTAATTTTGCAAGAAGATCTAATTTCAGTGGCTAGTTTCAGTTATGCTTAACTTCAAGAAGATCTAATTTCAGTGACTAGTTTTAGTCATGCTTAACTTCAAGAAGATCTAATTTCAGTGACTAGTTTTAGTCATGCTTAACTTCAAGCAGATGCCAGCTTCAAGTACGACAATTTGCCGGGTTGGAATATTGCTGTAGTTTTTGTAAGTGTATAAGTTGCAATCTGAAATCAAATTACATGTAATTTATATTATGAAAATAACGTGGCCAAAACTTGCGTAGAGCTGGCATATAAAGTTTAGTAATGCTGGTGCAATAATCATGTGCTAGTGCAATAATCATGTGCTAGTGCACTATTTAACAGTTAATTGTTAATGTAAAGGTTACGTACATACGTACTGTATGTACGTAAGTGCATACGTACAATTTTGTAATTTTATTGAATCTATTGTCTAGCTTGTCAACGAAGTGACAAAAGCTAGCATTATTGCGAGATCAGATGATCTGGGTCACATGTTACCTTGGTAATATATCCGTTTACGTGAATGTAATTGAAAGCGTGATTATGCATATATTCTGGCTAGGGGTAAGATGTAATTTTTTAGAGATAAAGATAGACATGTGAAGGAAGTTAGTTTAAATCCTGTTATTTCAAGTAAGATAGCATTCAATGAGGGTCGATAGGGAGTTAGAGAGAATAGCATATGAAAGGAGTGAGATTAATTAGATAAGATGTAATATTTAAGGAATCAACTTGTAATAGTGTTTTGTATCTTTCGTTTCGCTATTGCTCGCCTTATTGTGCTAGGCTGGCTCTGTCGTTTGAAATCCTATAAATCCTATAAATATAAATTTTAGTAAAACCTATTGAAAAGAAAAAGAAACGGATAATAGTAAAATGTCTGTTATTAGTTGGACGAAATTGACCTTAAGTGAGCTTAAAGACCTTTGTTTGACTTGTGGACTGTCTGATAGCGGGAATAAGGAAGATTTAAGCGAAAGGCTCCATGCCTATTTTGATAAGAAAAGAGGGAAGTTACCAGAAGAGAATAGGGAAAATGATCCTCTAGACAGCGTTGAAGGGACAGGTCATATGGCAGATGACTTCTATAGAAGTCCAGAGGAGAGAGTTGTTGAGTTAACAGACGATGTTGATGCAAATTCCCAATGGGCTGATGATCGAGTTAGAGACACCCTTGAGCCTCATCTTTCAACTAGGGGGCATGGAAAGGAAGAAGCTCCAACAGTTCCAGTTAATTATTTTATTACAGCGTTGAAAAATATTGAAACTAAAATGGATAGAAATTTTTTCCAGTTACAAAAGGAAATAGAAGAGGAAGACACCCTGGATGACGCCTGGCCTAAGGTTAAGTTATTAAAAGCACGTGATCAGCATGAATACGATTTTCTTTCAAAAATGGGAAGGCGACTTGACAAGGCTATTAGGCCACTGCCAGCAAATATTAAAAAAGAATTTACGGGTATAAGAGATGAAATGGAAGCATGTGCAGTGACACTTAGGTTAGCAAATGAGAATGGGTGGAAAATGGCATTGCAAATTGTAGGGTCAAGTGATAAAATGATGCAAAAGTATAGAGATCGTATTCCTATTGTAAACCAGCCCTCATCACGTTATAGTACATGGAGATACAATAGTAAGACCAAGTATAATTCTTATAAGAGAAAGAGAGATAGTCGTTATTATTCACAGTCATCTGACTCTGAAGATAGAAATGCTTATAGGAAAGCTAGGAAAAGTCAGGATAACTTCTATTCCTTTCGGAATAGAGAAAATTATAGATCAAAGAATCACCCTAAAGCAGTTACCTGTTTTAACTGCGGCGGCATCGGTCACATTGCTACCAACTGTGCATCAGCCAATGCAAGCTCTTTTCCCAAAACCAGAAAAGAAGATTGACCACACTCGGACCTTAGAAATATCCAACAATTTGATTTCAACCAACTTAAAGAATCAAATGTCAGTTGTTGGACGAATTCAAAGCAAGGCAGTTTTAGAATATTGGCAGAGAGAGATAAAGCCATCAGCAGTAGTATTAGACTGGTTAATGAATGGGGTGCCTTTGTGGCCAAAAGGAGTGTTAGTACTTGCAAACAAGCCAAATCCGAAACAATACCCCTTTACAGAGGAACAAGCGAATTGGGTACAAAAGAAAATAACCCGGTTACTTCAAACTTCAGCAATATGTTATATAGGGGACCAATTAGAAAGACCTCAATTTCTATTAGAAGTAAGTCCCGTCTTTTTAGTTCCCAAAAAAGGCCCCAAGAGATGGAGGTTAGTTATCGACCTAAGAAGGTTAAATCAGATCTTGCCCGAAAAGAAAGTTCGTTTAGAAGGTTTAGGCAGTTTGCTTCGAACTGTAGGGAAAGATTGGTTTGTAATTACTTGGGATTTAAAGGAAGGATATCATCATATAATGATGAGAAAGAATGCTCAACGTTTTTTAGGTTTCCAGGTGCTTGGAAAATGGTATCATTATCGGGTTCTACCTTTTGGCCTTTCACAAGCAGTTTGGATTTTTTCCAAAGTCATGAGATCAGTTATAGGCCATTGGAGATCACAGGGCATTTATTGTGGGAATTACATCGACGATTTTTGGGTGGCGCATCCATCTCTGCAAGCTTTATTAGTAATAAGAGACTCAATTATCAAAAGAGACTTAGAGAAATGTGGTCTAGTAAGAGAACCATCAAAAGGCCAATGGGAACCAACCCAAAGGCCAAAATTTTACAGGCTAATAATAGATACTATAAAGGCTCAAGTAGTCCTGCCCGAAGAAAAGATTACTGCAACAAAACTGCTTTTGCTAGAGTTAGTAAAAAAGGAAACAGTATTAGCACGAGACTTAGCAGTAGTAGCAGGGAAAATACAGTCGTTAAGCAGAGCATTTGCACCTGCCAAAGTCAGATGCCTAGAGTTCTATTCAATTATAGATGCAATAAACAGACGAAGCTGGCAGTGGGATATACCGATCATATTAACAAAGCAAGCTCGTGTAGATGCAATGTGGATAGCACAAAATTTACAAAAGAAGAATGGATGCCCTTCTTGGAAGCCATCAAAAGTAAATCAGGTTTTTGTAGATGCGTCAATAGTTGGTTGGTCAGCAGTTTTTGGCAAGCACCATGCTTTCGGAAATTGGATCACAAAGAAATCATACAAAGAGATTACAAAGCTAAAAGCGGAAGCTGTAATACTGGGGATAAAATTTTTTGCAAATCTACTAACACACTCTTGGATAGATTTGCATATCGACAATCAAGCTGCAATCAGCACTGTAATAAAGGGAGGAAGATTGCCCTGGTAGAAGGATCTTCTTCGCAGGCTTTGGGATCTGTTAGACGAGTTCGATATTTGGGTTAGCGAAACTTTTTGGATTCCATCCAAAAACAATCCAGCCGACAAATTAACCAGAGTTATAGACTCAACCGATTGGTGTCTAAATCAAGCTATATTCGATCAAATAGAGGAAAAATGGGGTCCACACTCAGTAGATCGAATGGCAAGCCATTTGAATGCAAAAACACCTCGCTTCAACAGTCAGTTCTATTGCCGGGGTCAGAAGGTGTAAATTGTTTTGTCCAAGATTGGTCAAGAGAAAACAACTATATTTGCCCCCCCTTAGGGCTAGTCCATCGTGTACTTCAACACATTGTAGAAGGAAATTTTACTGCAACAGTAATAGTCCCGAAATGGGTTTCAGCGGAATGGTGGCCAGTGTTAATGAGAATTCAAATAGACAGCATCATGTTACCTCCGCCACAGATAACTTTTGTTCCAGGAATATCAGGCGAAGTGGAGCCATGGAAGAACCTAAGCTGGACTTTTCTTGCAGTAAGAGTGAGTTGGTAAACAAATTACTTAAAAAGGCTCAATCCTTAATTAGAAAAGCAACATCTGAAAATTGGAACCTTCGTTTAGATAAAGCATGGAAGGTGTATGCGGATTTTTGTGCTATTACCAAACAGAGCCTCTTGCCAGCTACGGCAGATACACTTGTCTCTTGCCTTATTTGGCTTGATTCAGCTCAGAGTTTTTCTATCTGCGCAGATATTTTAGCAGCTGTATCTAGGGAGCACTTGCAAGTTGAGTTACCTGATCCCTCTAAAATATATAGGGTCAAAAGGATTTATAAAGCATTATTAAGGGAATTTAGAAAGGATAGAACACCAGAATGGCCGCGTGATCCTCTCCCTATTTCGGCTCTTAGGCATTTTGTAGATACGAAGCCTTTTTATGCTGATAAGGATCTGTGGATTCGGGACATAGCATTAATAGCAATTGGGTTAAGAACAATGCGGCATCCTGGAGAACTGTGCTATCTGAGAATGAATGATGTGAAATTTGAGAATAAGTTATGTTGGATTAGAATAAGGTCATCAAAGACTGATCAGTTTGCTAATGGGAAATTCATTCCTATAGAATTATCAAATAGTCATTACTGTCCGGTTAGGTTATTGAAGCGTTATTTATCAATCCGACCTAGTACCCCTGAAAGTTGGCCTCTTTTCTTATCCAAGCAAGGGAAAAAATTAACCGTTGGTGCTGTTGGCTCCGTAGTTAAAAGAGTAGCCAAGCATGCAGGCCTCCGGGGACGCTACACAGCACACAGTATTCGTATAGGAGGTGCAACAGCTGCCATGGAATCAGGTTTATCCAGCATAGCGGGCTTTCTCTGTAATTGGTTAATTTTTGTAGATCATTTTGTGATTTTTATGAATTTTTATTGGTTAATGAAATTAGGTTTCGTGTAACCATATTAGTAATCAAAATCATAC